CCGGGAATCGAACCCTGATCTCCTGGATCCTAGGTCGATGCTCAACCGCTGAGCCACGCCCGGCTGGGCAACACCTATACATTTAATATATATTTATTATTATTTTTTTATTACAGTTTGCATTCTATACTATTTTGTATTACTTTCAGGTGTACAGCACAGCTGACAGACATTCATATACTTTACAAAGTGTTCCCTCCGATAATGCAAGTGCCCACGGCACCATACATAGTAATTACAGCATTGCTGACTATATTCCCTATGGTTTACCTCACATTCCTGTGCTTATTTTGTAACTGCTGATTAGTGCTTCTTAATCCCTTCCTTTTTTTTACCCCACCCCTGTTACATTTAATATGTAAATTCCAGCTCTTCTTGAACAGCCTTGAAGGGCTGTAATAATGTGTAGTTTTGCTGAAGTAAAAATTTGAATGATATACCTTTGAGGCTGATATATGGGAAGGAAGTACAGATTCATAGGTCTGAGCATAGAAGCTGCACTTAAAAGCCAGTGTCCTATTGGCTCATTCTTTTCTGCTCACCTGGAGCAGAGGTAATCCTCCAGGATAGTGTGAGGTCAGGCAGTAAGGTGGGTTGGTGCCGGAATGCGATTGGTTGAGTAGAGAATACTTGGCCAAGTTGACACCTTTTAGCGTTTTCATTGACTGAGATTTTAATTTACTGAGAATCACTGTTGGCGTGTGTGTGTGTGTGTGTGTGTGTGTGTATTAANTTGGCGTGTGTGTGTGTGTGTGTGTGTGTGTGTGTAACAGAATAGACTGAATAGTATAATGAACTCCCACACATACCCATCATCCAGTCCCAGTAACCACCATCACATGGTGAATCATACCCTACCTACTTTTGCCTCTCCTGTATTATCTTGAAACAAATCTCAGACATTTCATTTTATCTATAAATATTTCAATAAGCATCCCTAAAAGATAGGGAATTTAAAAAACCACAATGCTATTAACATCAGGGATTCTAAAGTCGACTATCTAGGGGAGGGGTGGTCTCTGTGTCTAAAATTCCGTGTAGCCTTTTTCTGCATGTGCTTGAGTGAATATGACTGGATGTGGTATCCTAGCCTTCATAGATCCTCAAAGGGCTCATGATCCACAAAGGGCAAGAACATTGATATTGTTTTGAGGACCATATGTCAGATAATGGAGTAGGCAACAATATCAAGGAAGAGAGGTATCAGCTCTTTTAAATAAAAGGACAGGCATTCATGTAAGATTTAATATCTTACAGGGTTACATGATGAAAAAAGGCCATAGACGGAAAAACTGGACTGAACGCTGGTTTGTACTAAAACCCAACATAATTTCGTATTATGTGAGTGAGGATCTGAAAGATAAGAAAGGAGACATTGTCTTGGATGGAAACTGCTGTGTGGAGGTAAGAGCCTACTGGTACCTCTTTCTGGTGCTGCCCCCTGCTGCTCAAGTAGTTTATCTTCCTTATAGACTTCAGGGCCTTAAAACAATCTTAAAACTTCTATTGCCAATATAATATAGGCATTAAGTCACAATAGTTTCTGAACTAAAAATTAAAGATTCCTGACAAAATTTTTTTCTAATGTGAGTTTGTTTTCTGTCTTATACTTGTGAACAAAGTATAGAGCTTAAATCACACTTGTTTGAACATTTAAGGAATCATTTATTGAATAAAATAGAGTCACCAAAAGAAACTAAAGCAAAAAAATCAGTAACACAATGTTTGAAATTACGAATCCGCCAGAAAATCTGGGCCTTTTGAGTGCAATGAATAAAACTGAAGAAGATGTCAGCAATACCTTTGAATATTTTGAGTGACTTTCAGGACACTTTATTCATAACTGTTAATTCTGTAAAGAAACGAAGTCCTCAAGAGCATACATTTGTGAGTATTTATATCTGAACTATCACCAGGTCTGTATTTGTTGGAGAACATTTAAAATACCTAAGCTGTTACTCATAAATGATAATGTATTTTGATGGATGAAATGGTATGGATATATTAATGTCCCAGGATGTATAACATACCAGTCTAGGCCATACCAGTCTCTTTGTAAGGATACAGGCCAGGAGCCACAGCTTGCCAGCAACAATATCGCAGGCGCAGGTAGAGGAGAGGAGGGCACATCTCAGGCAGGCGTGGGAATCACCGTGGCTTAGAAGCCTCGGAGCTCATAGGAGTTAACACTTGTAACTCCATGGACATACCTTCCAGGGTTCTTGTAAGGAATGTGCTCAGGTATGAGTCACTGTGCTTAGGAAAGCCCAAAGCTTGGCATCCCCACCAGGTGCTGATGGTTCTCCCATCCCAGTCTGGATGTCATATACTAATCAGGAGTCATTGTTCCTGTAAGCATTGTTGCCTAGGGGACAGAATTAGTGAATCCGTAATATGCATTTTTTTATAGTTTTCATCGACATTGAATTTCAGCCAGATCTGTGTAAATAATTAATTTAAACACTTAAAAATAAAATCTTAGCCCTGGCCGGGTAGCTCCGTTGTTCGTGTCATCCTGCTGCACCAAGGGTGCGGGTTCGATCCCTGGTCAAGGCACATACAAGGATCATCCAATGAACTGCATAAACGAGTGGAACAACGAGTTGATGTTTCCCTCTCTTTCTCTCTCTCCATCTCTCCTTCCCTCTTTCTAAAAAATAAAATTAAATCTTAAAGAACTAATTTAGCTTTCTGTTTTAGTCTTTGCCTGACAAAGATGGAAAGAAATGCCTTTTCCTCATAAAGTGCTTTGAGAAGACCTTTGAGATCAGTGCCTCGGACAAGAAGAAGAAGCAGGAGTGGATTCAGGGTAAGGGAGCTTTTACTGTTGGCTGGGCTGTAACCTGGGAGCTCTGACTGCCCACTTTTCCAACTCATAAAACCTACGAAGGCTTTGTTTCCTCATTGTCTGTGTTATTTCTGGATGTAACGTGGAGGCTTAAAGAAAAACGAATCGAGAGGCGTTTCCAGATTTTTAATCAATTTCATTTTCATAATGACCTTGTGGGAAAATCGTAAACTGGACATTTTGAGTTTTATTTACTACTATTGGGAGAGTATGGAATTTCCTCTTTTAACAACTGAATTATCGTAAAGGGGCCATCTTGAGTTTTGAGTAATATATAAAGCAGAAGAGGAATAACAAGAGTAGCTTTTGAATAATTTTTTAAGATCAGCTATTTTCACAAGAAATCACTGGTTTCAAATAATTATCTCAAGAACACAAACTTGATTTAATAACTTTTCAACTAACGTATTATGCCAAAATTAATAAAGAACGAGACACTATATATTAGATTTTTTTTTAAATCATGGGAGATTCTGAATATGATATTCTTGGACATAGGTAGTTACCAGGACCTCAGTGTTTTATTTTGTGTTTTCGTTTGTCTGTTTGTTTGTACACCCCTGGCCCAAAGAAATGCAGGAGCAGGAGTTTGCAGTACAGAAAGAAAAATAGTTTAATATTGAATGACCAACACGGAAGTGGAGAGCTAAGGATAAAAACCCGACTCCCCTATGGCATGTAGGTTAGAGATTATATAGGGCAAAATCACAAGACACCGGGGGTTAGGGGTTCAGGGTCATGCTGGGAGCTGGTCGGTTGGAGGTGAGGGGAGGATACTAAGTCATTTCTTCAGGTCTTGAGGACAGTTCTGAGGTCTGCTTGGCAGCCCTCTGTCTGGTCTCATGGGAAAGTAGCCCGCGGGTCTCCACCTTAGGGCTCAGGAGCTGCAACATAACTTAGGTCAAGATGTTATCCTTAGCCTGCCCCAGGTCCAGACCGTGTGACGTCAGTCAGGCCTAGGCTCCTGCCTTCTGCTGCCTCTCTGATTATCTAGGGGGCTGATTATCGAGGGGCAAGGCTAGGTCTGAGTAATATATATGTAGAGAGAGAGATGATTTCTAGAGCTAGGATTTAAAACTAAATTTAATCAAAGTCATAGGGACCCTCAGTTTCAAGTAAAAATAGTATCTTGAAAACTAGGGTCGTTTTTGATGTGGTTTAAGCGTGAGGCTAGCCCGGCGAGGTTTGAATCTTTCCCGAGTCACTTGGGCTGAGCTGTGATTCTGTAGCTGCTTTCCTCTTCTGTGGAAAGGGAGCAATAACAGCACTAGCTCTCAGGGTTGTTGTGAAGGTTAGTAATTAAGTAATGGAGGTATACTTGCACATTTTAAAATGCTACATCATTGCAGAAATGTTCGTGATAGGTCGCAAGCCACCTAAATGTCTATTAATTGGGAAGTGGTTGAATAAATTACGGTACAGCTGCTCGTGGAGTGCTGTGCAGTGCTTTATGTATAGTGCTTTGTGTACTGACATGGGAAGCTCTCCAGGATAAATTAAAGAAAAAAACCAAGCCTCAAAAGAGTATGTTATGCCACTGTTTGTGTCAAAAGAAGGTGGAGGGCGTATATACATATTTATTTGTATATGCTTAAAATATCTCCGGAAAGAGGCACGAAAAACTTAGCATTAGTTGCTAGTGGAGGGGGAACCGGGTAGTTAGGGGTAGGAGTAGGAGAGAGATTTCCTCTATGTCCTTTCATGCTTTTGAATTTGAACAAAAGTATTAGCTATTCAAAAAATTAAATTTATATAATTGAAACAATCAGGAAAGAAATTAGATTTTATATAAAAATTAGATAATGCACGTAAAGGGTATACATATAGCAGGCATTCAGTGAATGGTAGCTACTGTTATCATCTCAGGAAGGGGGTGTACAGGGAGATGGTTTTGAGAGGCGTAGTTGTCGGGCAAACTAAACACAGCAGGTAGCAAATCGGGCATCAGAACTTCGAGTCTCAGCCCTTACTCTGGCTAAATTGTATTTAGCCTTTTGAGAAGTATGGAGAAGGGAGTTGAAAGTGTTTTAAATAAATTCTTCAAATGTGTGTGATATTCCTGAAACAAGCATCTGTTTAAGCACAGATATGCAATTTTGGAACTTTGGAGCTGGAAGTGGCTTTAGAGATCACCTCTCTCATTTTAGAGATGAGGAAACCGACACCGCAGGAGAGTGTGTGACTTGCTCAGGGTCACCCCGCTCCTCAGGGGCAGAATCAGAGTCTACACTGGTCCTGTCTGGCTTCTTCCTACTGTGCCACTTGCATGTTAGGCTTACAGAGAATAACAGGTACTTCCCGTTTTTTCCTCCTATGCCTCTCACAGCCATTCACTCTACCATCCATCTGCTGAAGGTGGGTAGCCCCCCACCGCACAAAGAAGCCCGCCAGCGCCGCCGAGAGCTCCGGAAGAAGCTGCTGGCCGAGCAGGAGGAGCTGGAGCGGCAGATGAAGGAGCTGCAGGCTGCCAACGAAAACAAGCAGCGGGAGCTGGAGGCCGTGAGGAAGGTGGGAGCCGGCGCGGCTCTGCATCGCAGGAGCCACCGCTGCTCGCTTCCCAGCTTTGCTTTTACCAAGACCAGGTCGCTGCAGTTTAGGGAGATTTCTCTGTTGTTGAACTGTGTTCTCAGGAAGCGTATCTACACCACGCGAGACACCCTGGTTTTCCCAGCCCCGGGAGTGTGAGGGTCTCAGGGCAGCAGGGACATTTCATTGATCAGAAAAGCATATTTATAAGAATGAGCACAGTTGAATTTTGTCAGAGAAAGATGAGAAATTTTATTCCCCTAAGAGGTCAAGGTCGCTTTTGGTGACCTGGGCAGAGTCTGTTGCTCTTTTCGTTTTCCCTCTTCGCTCCCATCTTCACTCGTGAGGACCTTGCAAGACCTTTAGTGTAGAATTGTGGGTTTTACTTACTGTGTGGAGTCAGAGGTGGAGCCAGGTCAGCTTCTGCTCCCATCTCAGGACTAGGAGATCAGGTGCCACAGGCTGTACAGGGTAGTTGTTAACGGTCACTGGGAGACCTTGTTCCCTGGTTTTGTCATGGTTTTGGGGGGGGGGAGTGCCCAGTTGTGGGCACGGTCTTTACCTGGGACACCTCTGGGCAGAGCCTGTCTGCCTGAATCGCTGAGCTCATGCTAACCATGAACTGAAAGACCCTTTGTGTCCTGCAGCACCTTTGCCCTTGGGTATGGGGGTTGCTTATAGTATGTTATCAGTGGAAGTGGGGTGTCCCTTTCCCCACTGAATGCTTGGGGTGGGATCCTTAGGATATCTCAAGAGAAGGAATTTTCTGAGACTCGCATGGGAGGGTGAGTGATTTTTATCTTCATGGAATTACATCTCTAGGTTTCCAAAGTCCCATTTTCCTTAATCCGGTCCTGGAAGACGTGCAGCTGGGGATTCAGTAGAGTAAAAGCAGAGCCAGTGTCCAGAGTTTCTGTTCCATGTTGGAATTGGGTTCCTACAGCATTAGGCTAGTTGCAGTCCATCAGTCCATCGTGCGTGGGGTCCACATGGTGTGGGCCCTGTGGGCGAATGTAGGGGAGCTGGGAGAGCAGGAGAGTGAGCTTCTTTGTTTAGGGGATTAAATATCTCTAATCTTCCTGTACTTGCAGTGGCCATGCCTACTCTGGTCAGCGACCTGTTCCCAGGTGTGATGACAGGAAATCACCCTCCCTATTTCACCCAGACTTTACTGGGCATGTGTCTTGCACGCCCCCACCCTGGCCCCTGCAGTCCCTTCCCCCAGAACTCTGCAGGGAATAGACCCGTGGCCCCCTGGGGAGTGTAAAGCTGCAGCCTCCTGGCAAAGCTGCACAAATGACATCCTATACTATTTGGCCTTCCCTGTGGTCCTTTCCAGTTATTCATAACTAGGTTAATTACCACAGTATCAGTATAAGGCCCCGCATTCCTGGTGAGATTCTCTTTTTGCAGCCCACGAAAATGCCACACTTTATGCTGACTTCCTCTGAGTGGATTCGCAAAGAGTTTTATGTACTTTTATAATCTTAAGAACCATGTGGACATACAATCTTAGAAATAGCTGTTCCTACGGCCCACAGACTGAAGGGTCTCAAGTTTGATCCTGGCCAAGGGCACACACCTCAGTTGCAGCCTCAATCCCCGGCCCCGGTTGGGGCATATGTGGGAGGCAACCAATCGATGTTCCTCCCCTCCCCTCC